TAGGCATCCACAACGTAAATGCGCCATCCACCTTGAGATACAACTTCCAAGGTCTCAAGTATATTTACAACGGCTACCCCACCCTTCAAACCGAAACGCATTACTGCTTCATGGCAGAAATAGGCAGGGTGGTGGTACTTACCCGTGCTGACTCACGAGAGGTCCTACTAACAGTAAATAACCAGTAATTCAACCTAATCACGTGATTTCTGTAAATAACAAGTACAAATAAATACAATTTAGCCGCAGCTATAACATAATTTAATATATTTGACAGATGCTTGAATCGCGCCAACTACATTTTCAAGATCGGTTTGCATATATAGGATAGATATAGGAGTTTTGAACGAAAACATCCTAAGGCCGCCGAGTTTCTCGTCGGATTTTCCTTGTGGGTCGCGATTCCGATCCAGTGGTAAGTTCAGCGAAGCACTGTTCTTGCCAGGGCAGATATTAGCAGTCTCTCAGGTCGTGAGTTCGCCTACCTGTCACGGTGAAGGCAGAAATAGCTCTTCTAGATTAAGGGCATATAAATAGGCAAAAAACGCTCCACAGATAATGCTTAGATACCCTCAAGGCCACTTGGCTATGCACTTGTCATTACTGATGTCAACGATCGACAGTAATCATTTTATCCAAATAAACCACATCCTTACCTTATTGTAGAAACAGTGTCAGTTGCCTGTAACCACAAAGTTTTCCAAACGTCTAAAATATAATAATGGCAATAAAAAACGCAATATTAAATCGTAAATGTAGTTTGAATTATGTTTACGAATCGCGAAATCAGAAAAACTGCAGTTATCCAATCTCCAATCCTTAAAATTTTATGTTCGAGCGAGAACAATTTATATTTTTCTTTTCGTATTGTAATGAACTTAAAATTCACTAACTTAAGAGAGCTCCCATCAGAACGGCATCGTCAAATTTTAATCAAAACAATATAATTCGAGATTACTACGGAGAAGAAAATTCATATAATTATCTTTTCGTATTGTAGTGAACTGAGAATTCAATAACTTAAGAGAGGGTCCCATCAGAATGGCATCGTCAAATTATAATCAAAACAATATAATCTTCGAGATTACTACGTAGAAGAAAATTCGTATAACTTAAAGGAGGTAAGTGCGCACAATTACGCACGAAGGTAATTTCACGTAATGTAGGCAAGCCTCCGGAGAATTGAATTAAATTAAATGTACTGTCTTTATATTACATTCAGGAACAAAAAATAAAGCGAAAATACTTACTCTACGTATGGGTTATGTCGGCTGATTTATTTTTACAATTCCGTTTGTACAACGATTACAAATTCGGCCAAATGTTTGGTTTTCATCATTTTTATTTAAAAAGAAAATTTTATTATATGATGCTCGACAGCCTGACCTTTGAACTCAAAACAAAAAGTGAAAGACAGGCGAGGAGAATAATAAATTGTATTTTTCTAAGTATGTGTTCCATCTAAATTTATTTAAATCTATTGAAACACCGTCAAGATCCGCTTTGACTATCAATAAATGTATGAAATATAACGATTTCATATAAGTACTACATACTCCGCCTACGTGTACGGTCGGTGGACGGACGGTTTTTTTTTAATTTAATAAATAATAAAAAATGTATAATATTTCATTCTCTAGTAGACTAAATCCTATAGATGTTTGTTTCTCTTATTAGTATCGTTTCCAATCGTAAATCGTAAGATTTTCAACAAATAAGAAAACGTCACAAACTATTATGGGCACCGTAAATAACCAATGTTCAATCGAAATATAATTTCCAATAAATATAATCTGCTGCTTGTTCAGAATTCCATTAAAATACCTTTATTACTTCGGAACATGGAACTTGCTTCGACGGTACTTAGTCGTATGAAAACGTATGTATTCGAAATAAAACTCTTTATTACACATATGAATGTACTTGGTTGTGTGTAAATAAAGCATATTGCAGGATGCTTATAATATAGATGAATCTTTTTGTTAATTTTAACTTAATTCTCACTGTGTTTGTTATCTTCATCAAATTCGTGAATGTCTGTATAGCCTGATGACAATCCCATAATATGGTACAATTGACTTAAGATATTGGTAACCCTGTAGTAGGGAAGTGTATTTAACCTATTCGCTGATAGCCTAAGAGGCTTATTTCAGCTACGCCTGAACGGGTAGGTGAGGATCGGAACCTCGACTCACTGAGAAGATCCGGCGAGAAACTCAGTGGGCTGTGTCTATTGGCAGTTGTTGCAGTGCGGCAGTGGCCCTTGTTGGCAGCCACTAATAATAGCCATAAAGCTTGAACTCATTACACGTTAACGAATGCAATTTTATAGCTTTTTTTTTATTGCCTTTGTAGGCAGACGAGCATACGGCCCACCTGATGGTGAGGGGTTACCGTCGCCTATGGACTTCAGCAATGCCAAGGGCAGAGCCAAGCCGCTGCCTACCGCAATCAAGCCGCTGCCTACCGCAAATATTAAAGCTTAAGCTTATTCTTGTAATATATTTTACTTATTGCTTTTTGTAAACAAGAAAAATAGTGGAGAGAAATTAAATCCAATATATGAAAAGTCTTATATTAAATTACGCCTGCTGTCCCCTACTAAAGAAGTATCGTATTTATTGAAATATCTCCTGACACGTCTGTCTCCGACTTTCTGTTCCATCACTATGTTCTCCAGCTGTTTGGCGAGCTCCATGGTGCTGGTACTAACGGTGATCTCGTGGGTAAAACCGAAAAAAGTTGACCTCTCCGAATCTAGGATGTCGATGCCCTAAAAATTACATTTATGGTACATGATTAAACTATAATTTAAATTAAAAACGAAATTAATAATATAATAATAGCTCTTTTTTTGAAAGCTATTTTTTAAAAGAGATACGTTACGAGAGAGTTCGGATTGTCGATAATCCCATTCTCACGGATCGTTTGGAACCTCTGGGTCTACGGAAGAACTTCGGTTCCCTCTGTATTTTGTACCGTATGTTCCATGGGGAGTGCTCGGAGAAATCGTTTGAGATGATACCATCATCTCATTTTTACCGGGCTCACAGCCCACCTGGTGTCAAGTGGTTACCGGAGCCCATAGACATCTACAACGTAAATGCCGCCACCCAAAATGAGATATGAGTTCTAACGTCTCAGTATAGTTACAACGGCTGGCCCACCCTTCAAACCAAAACGTATTACTGCTTCACGGCAGAAATAGGCATACCGACCCATAAAAGGTCCTATCATCAGTAATTACGCAAATTATAATTTTGCGGGTTTTTTTATTTTTATTACACGACGTTTCATCGCAAGATACGAAGGTACCAGACGTCTTATCCTTTAGGCCACGACGACTTCAGTTGTCCAGGCAATAAGAAAAAAACAATTATCGATATGTATTTGTTGGCAAAAACACCTATCGCAAGTCGACAAAAACTTACCATAACAAATGAATTTACAAATAAAATAATAAACATTGCAATACATTTCGGTTTCAAGAACATTGCACTAAAAATTGTGGTAAATAAAATTATTCATATGCGTGTTTATTTCTAAATTCGATTTACTTTTTAGTGTTTTTCCACATTTAAAATTTAACTCACACTACATTTTTAAGCTTAGTGTTCCATTTAATGTTTTTCTATCGAAAATGTGTATACTTATAGTATTGAATTACGTAAAAATTCATTCAATCTATCTATATATATATACCTATATATATAAAAATGAATTGCTGTTCGTTAGTCTCGCTATAACTCGAGAACGGCTGGACCGATTAGGCTAATTTTGGTCTTGAAATATTTGTGGAAGTCCAGAGAAGGTTTAGTAGGTAGATAAATATGAAAATGCTCAGAATTAAATAAAAATAGCAATTTTGTTTTCCCTTTGATGTGGGACGGGGGACGTCGGACGGATTCCTTTTGTTTGATTTAAGTTTATTTTATACAAAAGCTTAGGTATTTTATTTATCGATTGAGGCACTACGAAGTCTGCCGGGTCAGCTAGTTTGTTATATTAATTACGATAGTCAGTCCATAGTTTTAAGGATTGATGTTATTTAGATATTTTTTTAACTATGTAAATCGTGACGCGTCAGAAGACACTGTTCAAGGATTGTTATTAAACTTAATTTGGATTATGTGCTTGCAATAAACACATAACCTATTTGTTTCATCTGGGCATCCTAGTTATCTTATTGTTATCAATAAATGAACTAAGAGACACATTCATTCACAAAGTTATCTGTAGGAGTGAACTAAATTAGTCTCTTGTTTGATTTTTTAATTCGTTACACGAATTGCGTTAATAATTTTGAAGCGCGCCTTTTTAGGGTCGCGCTCTTCGTAACTTTTTTTTAAATATTTTACTGTGGAGACATGAGTTTACAGCCTACATAATGTCAAACCATTACCATAACCAAACTACCAAGTTTAAATCCCACTAAAATGTATTTATTGAAAACACTTCAAGCAACCTATTTTCTATTCTGTAGCACCCACAACGACGGGCGCATATAACGCGAATAAAACAACAAATGGGAGTGTCAAAACTAAAAGAATAAAAAACAAACTATAGTCAAACTATAAAATTTATTCAAACAAAAATATATCACATTTTAAAAGACACGATTTTTAATATGGAGTTTATTAGAATTATTTATATTAATTTACATACAATGGCGTCACATCGAATTAATAGAAATTTTACAATTACAAATACAGAATAAAGACCTTTTCAAAATACAGTCTAATGGTATCTAAGACGTAAGTATTAAAATGTTTCAAAGCTTGTTGTAAAGCTTGTTTTTTTTTATTGCTTAGGTTGTGGACGAGCTCACAGCCCACTTGGTGTTAAGTAGTTACTGGAGCCCATAGACATCTACAACGTTAATGCGCCACCCACCTTGAGATGTAAGTTCTAAGGTCTCAGTATAGTTACAACGGTTGCCCCATCCTTCAAACCGAAACACATTACTGCTTCACGGCAGAAATAGGCAGGGCGGTGGTACCTACCCGTGCGGACTCACAAGAGGTCCTACCACCAGTTAAAAACCAGTAAAGCTTACAATGAAATTTATTACTTTTAATGAACAATGTTGATCTACTGTTTATATTGATTGAAGTTTTTTTTTAGCTTTTCCCCTGACCTAAATTCCTACTAAATAAAACAAAAATAATGAAATTTAAAATGGTGTTCAATGTATTTCTAACAATAATCGCAAGCGAAATTTAAATTTCACATCTAATTTACTAAATAAACAATTGTAAGACTCCATTACACATTAATATTTTGTTTCCATACACATTATGTACTGTTTATACTAAAATATATATATAGTTCTTTAAACATCAATAAATTTACCTTCATTCCTTAAACACGAAATGCGAAGGTATTTAAAAATTCGGAAAGAAATTAATAACCGCAGCAATGAGATTAAATTGTCTTTTTTAGATTGTCTATGACGTGATATACTATTTGCTTTCTACTTCCTTGCCTTGCAGTGTTTTTGGCGCTATTTATTGTTTGAAATTCAAAATCCATATCCATACTTTGTTTTCCTTATAAAATGATGACACTAAGATTGGACAGTCAGCAATGTGTTGGCGTACTGAAATTCTGGACTGTTTTCGTACTCAGACATGTCGAGGGCTACTTCGCAGCTTTCTCGGACGACACGACGTGGATCATTCAAGTACCTAGAAAACAGATAGATAAAAGTCAAACATGTACTTAATCAGACGCCAGTGGAACGTATTGGCGGGAACGCGTGGATCATAGTTGCGCGAATTGTTTTATTTCGTTAATTTAGTTTTTCCTTGGTTTTAACTCATTGACTGCCATATAATCAGTGCCCTATGTGGAAAACTGAAGTAATTATGTCGATTTCTCTCTTCTAAAGCGCCGGAATATCTAGTAGATTCTAGGAAAAACGAATCCAAAGATACTCAAAATTAATCTCTTTCTAAGAGACCTAAAAGACTAAAACATATATTAAAAACAGAAAATGGCATAATTAGGCAATCCAGACGCTTAGTACTTGATTACTGGTGGTAGAAGCTCTTGAGTCCGCACGGGTAGGTCCCACCACCCTGCCTATTTCTGCCGTGAAGCAGTAATGCGTTTCGGTTTGAAGGGTGGGGCAGCCGTTGTAGCTATACTGAGACCTTAGATCTTATACCTAAAGGTGCGTGACGCATTTACGTTGTAGATGTCTATGGGCTCCAGTAACCACTTAACACCATGGACTATGAGCTCGTACACCCATCTAAGCAATAAAAAAAAATGTAACAGAAATCGACATAATTAGGGCATTATCGACGTAAGCCACCGGTGACCTACATACAGTTAATATGTTAAATGTGTAATAAAAGTAGTTTATTGACTGTTTAGCATCTGTGAAAGTGCACAAGAGCGGAAAATGACAAAGCTACTAGGCATGGCTTCTTAAGGTTCTTTTAAAAAGTCCATAGCAATCTCTGTGAACAGCCACCATTTTGCTAAGACTTTATATGATCCCAACCTCATTGATTCTTTGATTGACTTTTTTTATATAATATTTTTTGGTGATTTCAATTGATTGCAGTAACAAATAAATAAACTTCATCTCATTTCGCTCCATATATATTTTTTATAGGTATGTGCATTGTTTACTATTGCAGGTAGCCAATTGCCATACTTAAATAAAGAAGAAAAAAAGTTGCCAGTAAGTAAAAAAAAAATTTTCAGTATTCCTCAAAAATCATCAACTTACACAAAACTATACACCTAACTTTTTCTCATGACTCACACTATTAATTGGTAAAAATTAAATAAAAATATTTTCTATAGTTTTTGAGTTCATCATGTTAAGATAGATAAGTGTAGTGGGAGAATTTGTTTTATAGTCTGTAGGGAGTATTGGTGATAACAGTTACCATTGAACCAAGAAACCTGTGCTACTGCTCTGAGAATTTCTAACTCAGTCCATTATGCAGTTCATTATCCATCATCTTTATTGGATGATTGGATAGCTATTATTCTAATACTATTGGGACTTTGATCTTAAGTCATTCTTTCATATTGTGTGGGGCAAATATTTTGGGCCCTGTAAGGGGTTGAACATACAGCCCACCTGATAGTGAATAGTTACCGTTAGTCATAGACGTCAGAGATGCCAGTGGCAGAGCCCAGGTGCTGCCTACTGCAAATGCCCAAATGGGCATTGCACCATCCTGCCCATGTTCATCTAAATATGTAATATTAAGTTTTTTTTCCGATTATGTTCTAAATGGTGGTTTTAAAGACCACTCTGATATTAGGTCAGAGTTTTGTGTTGGTCAGTATTGTTCTTATTCTCCTTTCCACAAAAAGGATTACTAAGTGTGAATTGTATAATATAGATACACAAGTGAACTGACATATTGCCCAACATGTGTGCTCATGTTTGTAATTTATTAAATAAAATAATAAAACATAATATACCTCTTTAGTATTTCGATGCATTCATCAGTTGCGATAGAACCCAATGCTTCAGCGGCCTCGTGTCTCACCATTTCATGTTCGTTTATATCTTCCAGCGTTGTTTTCAAAAAAGGAACACTCCTTTCGTCTTGCATTTGACCGAACACAAATGCCACTTCGTGTCTGAACAGTGCACTGTTTGCTTTTAGACCTGAAATTGTATAATAAACAAAATTAGTCACAAAGTTTCTTTTTATTCGAGATTTCGATTTTTCACCAGTGGACTTTTTCAGGCAAAGCAATATTTATTTTTAAGCCAATCACTGATTCCCGTAGACATCACAATGCCCATGAAAGTAGATGTCTTTGTGGTATTCGAATATTGGCTTTCCTTACTAAGCAGAACCTGAGTATGGATCTCACTAAGTCAGAAATCCCTCAGCTACATCTACTACATGGTCGACCGGAGATGAATAGTCATATTCAGGAAATATATAAACAAAAAACTTTCCAATTGATTAATGATTCCTCACATTCTATATTAAGCTATACTTATTTGTTTCTAAGGTATGTATGACAAGTAAGAGAGAAATCAAAGGTAATGTAGAAAGCTGTAACCAAAGTTTTTAAAAAGTAAACAACTCTAACTTTGTGGAAATAGACCACAAACAAATTCTGCCATTATCAATTATGTAGACACAATAAAGTTTTTTGACCTGTAGCAGTTTTTTACTCCACCAACATTTCTTTATCCTTCCACTGATTTCTACCCGTGAAATAAAGATAGTAAGTATAGACATCAGCTAGATAACTCTGGCTGAACCAGTGAACCAAACAAAAAACAGTCTTTGTCTACTGAGACGGGGGTATGAAATGATAATCTTTTTAATCCAAATAATTACAATTATACAAACCTTCACCCAAGGCATTGATACTTTCAGTTGTTCCTAAATTACGCAAACTAAACATTGCCCTGTATCGTATAAACAATGGTTTTGTCTCATCAAGGTATACATCTTTAAGTGCCTCTAAATTATTTTCAATGCTGGGCGGAGCAGGATCCACTGAAGTGTATAAACTTTTAGACAAATTGTCATTTTCTTTACTGTCATTAGCGACCCAGTTTAACCTTTGTAATGCAATCTGGCATGTCTCTGCTACTTCTATTGCTGAATCATGCTGATACTTCTCGAGCAGCTCTCGGAGGTTAGGGTCTCCTATTGCCCCAAGGGCTTCTCCTGAAATTATTATAAACATACAATTCACAAAACAGTTTGATTTTGAAGATCTTATATTTTTTCCTACCTCTTCTAGAAACCTCGAGGGGTTATTCTAGATTCACCGAATTAGTAGGTGAGCTCACGGAGCTGAAACCTGACGAAATGGCCAACACTAACCCTAGCAAGAGCAATGCTTTGCAGAATTTACGGAACGGATCTATTGATCGGAAACGCGACCCACTAACAAGATCCGGCGACAAACTCAGTGGGCTGTGTCTGTGGGTTCATTTACTCACAGAGCCCTTCGTCACAAGCAACGTGTTCGACGAGTACTATGACCAGACCTTCTATTAATGTTGATGTAATATTCTACATTTGGTGGACTAACGCTACCATTTAACAGTCGGTGGACTATTGTCGTACCAATCCCTTCACTCGGTATTAAACTGGCATTTAAATTAGTACAATCACATAATTTTTAATATCGTAATATGTACGAACTAATCAATCAAAAGTACTTATGTCAAGTGATTCAACAGCTTAACCATTGATATCACGTAGTCTTTATCGCGTACGTGCAGTTTATAAAAGATAAAACCTTACCGGCTTCATGGCGAACTATTGGATCATGGTTTGGGTCCTCTAACACGCTCCTCAATATGGGAATGGCTCTTCTGTCCTGCATTTGACCCAAACAGTAAGCAAGCTCATGCTTTAACAAAACGGACTCGTCTTTAAAGCATTCGCTAATACACTGTATGGCAGTTTCGCCACCGATGTTTCTTAATGTGAACAGAGCTCGAAAACGCTCCTTCATTGGCCTGGAGGGATCATTTAGGACATTCCCAATGTTTTTCACTGCGTTCTCACTCACGTTTGCCATTTGATTTTATTATATTTGAATAATATAATGAATTATTACGTTAAGAATTATAAAGAAAATGCTGGCGATATGTTTCTAAAAAACCATACAACAACTCAAACACATGTGTTGATGACGAATGACATTGACTTAGACGTGACAGTTCATAAAGGTGACAGCTGACGTTTAACTATGTTCAGAAATTGGTGCTGAAAAGAATTTAACACAAATCAAATCATACTAAATTCATTTGTTAAACGTTACATTCATTATTTATGCAATATAAATAATCACTGTCATACAGATATTCCTAATTTTGGTACACTCTCTCAATATGGTACACTCCCTCAATATGGTACACTCCCTCAATATGGTACACTCCCTCAATATGGTACACTAATTAAATGGACTAAAATAGCAATTTGTCAATAAGAGATTTTACTAAACTAACAGTGAACGCGGCGTAATAATTTGATCCTTAAGTAAATTAAGTTAAGAAAAAAAGATCATACTTCTCACCATTAGTTTTACTTCAGAGCGCCCGAGAGAAGCTGTTTATGTTGAATGGTAGTGCTGGTGGTCGCTGACCCGTACAGAATTCGAAAATAGAGATGATATGGTCAATCCTTTTGTCATTATTAAAATCCGATTGAACAAAAAATCTTTGCAAACTTTTTTCGTTTGGGCTGGCTTTGAATTCTTATTTGGATGAAACATTATTTGAATGAGAAACGCTTTTCTTTGACGCTCGATTTTTCTACTCATACAATGTTCTTTCCGAAGGCTGAAACTGATGTTGGATGAGTAAACTAAAAATAATATTTTGATAATACATTTTAAGTACAGGAGAAAGCAAAACTGGATCGGATAGCGCTAGGGTCAAATTCGTACCCATAAAAATTATTTTTTAACCTCAGCGTGGTAGGATCACCCCATGGTACACCTGATAGCGAGTGATTACCATCGCTCCTGGATACTGGCAATGCCAGGAGCACAATCAAGCTGCTATTCAACTGCAAGGATTATTTTCAAGTTCCCTTTGAAAAAGAGCATGTCAGAGATAGGATGCGTCAATTGTCAATAACTTTTGTTGAAACTTGTTGAATACATCGAGTCTATAAGCAGTAGATCGAATTTTACGATACCAACCACATGCATGAAAATAAACAATTTGATACTGTAATTGTAACTGTTTTTAGCTCATTTAATCACCAACAATAGTGATGAAAATCAAATATTTATTTAAAATCTCTAAATCCATATCTGTTTCAATTATGGAACTAAAAAAAATCACGAAACTACGATTTGTTTCAATTTCTGATGACTCTCTCGTGAACATCAAATTTAATCTTTGTCAAAGTTTTGTATCGTGAAAGCAAAATTATTATTGTTGACCGGCAACAAAATTTATATTTCAATTAATACTTTTTGTTGGAAACTGTTTGGTTTCGGCATCCTACGGTTCCGGTCCTGTAGCAGTACTACGAGACGACTACAGTTATTTTTTCCCTACCTATGCTGATAGCCTTGAGAGGCTATTTCAGCTTTACCCTAACGTGTAGGTAAGTTCACGGTGCTCAAACCGGGAGTGTTGCCAACACTGGCTTTAGCAAGAGCAGCAGAGAGCACACCACGGGATCGGAAACCACCGAGTATGCGTATCGAAACTTTAACCAGGCAATAGTTGGTACCACCAGTACGATTTCATAACTATATTCCAAACTATTACGTGCATATTTTTATCCAAGCATGCGACTTGTCCTTTATAACTTTGAATACTCCATGATCCATATCGGACAACGAACGTGCAATTGCTAATTTGATTGCTCGCACCTTTTATTATGATCGTGTCCCGTGTAGGGTTGTAGGTCATTTTATTTTTTTACATATTTGCCAACTTTAAGCTAGTTTAATCAAGTTTCACGTTTAGTCTTTTTAGGTAAAATTTAGAAAGTTCCGAGTCACGACACTTATACAATTTGAAAAAAAAAATCACGCGGCTTTCAAACAAAAGCTATGAAAAATTACGTGAATAAAAATTAAACGGTATCCGAAATGCTTATGTACTCTTGGTGCCGCAGTATTTTAGCATTGAATGTTTTGGAGTTTGACCTTTAAAACCTTTATCACATTTTGTATCGTAATCTTCGTTTAAGTTTCAAATTAAAATGATGATTAAAAGTTCTTCTTTTTATTTTCACTTTCGTCATGATTGGTCCTTAAAGGGAACTGTGGATTTCTGTACACTTCAAACTCTTCGACTAGTATATTAATAGATGTTAATAGATATTTCTATCCGTCTCGGTCAAGTCCTAGAGTTCGTCTACTCGTGAGGGTGAAGCTACAAAGATCTCCAAGCCACCATTAAAAACAAAAAGACGCTTTCATTTCTTGAACGCTGCCCTTTACTTTATAGTCAACAGCCCTAAACAGAAGGCACGTTGACCTGTCATTTTTTTGTGAGCTTGTCTGAGCCTGAAGGACAATTTATAATTAATTAAAGTAGTACATTTTTTCCTCTTACCCATTCCTCGTAATTTAACGTAAACATTGTATTCGCACGTGGAGAGCTACACAGGAACAGGAAGACATTTTTGATCGATCAAATGTAACAAGAACAAAAAAACTGTTGTTAAAATATTTTGGCTGTTATTGTTGTAAACTATTTTAAAAATCTACTAATGGTGCGTCGTGTGGGATCTAGTGCCAAAGAGGCTATTGCATGCATAGGTTGGGTAAGCAATAGCCCGCGTTGGTTGGGATTATCTTCCATATTATATCTGTTGTGAATATGAAGCAAACATGCATACTGGTATCTAAGGTAGAATAGCCGTTATTGTAATACTGTTTAAGCTTTGATTTCTATGTCCATAATTTTACATAGATTTTTTTTTTATTTTCGATCATGGATTTTGATTTTACGACCCGTTCCGTTTTCTATGATTTATCACTTGTTAATTTATTAGTATTTGTATAGCTAAAACCGCTTTTGAGATTTTAATCTTGCGGTTTTAACTGTTTTTATTTTATTTCCGACGTTTCGGATACTTTACAGTTTTCATGGCCATAGGCAATGATTTTGTTTGTTTTTATTAATACTTTTAGGCTCTTCAAGCAGCGGTCACCGTCCTATCGTCAATCACGATGAAGAGTTCCACGTGCGAATTAGCCCGTAGAGCCAACCCAGTGAGTTTCTCGCCTCGAAGATCGAGATTCCGATCCGGTGGTAGATTCAGCGAAGTACTGCTCTTGCTGGGGCCAGTGCCAGCCAATTTCCCGTTGAGCCCGTGAACGCAACCCAACATTCCGTGAGTAGATGCAATAGCCCCTAACACAATCAAAAATTTGGTAAAAAATAAAAAAGAATCTGATAATTTAAAAGTAGTGATTTAAGCAAAAAGGTCTTTTATCATACCAGTTCGATTTTTAGGTTGTGTGTTTCGAAACTGGTCAAAAGAATGCAAAACGACATACGAATTTAGCGTTTCGTCTCATTATAAACGATTGTTATTCAAACAACGTTGCGTCAACGCCAACGGCATCTGATTATGTGGGTGTGGTATTGAAATGCTTCATTAAAGCAGAATGCGTCGTACGTAAATCATTGACAAAATTTAAAAGACTATACATTTTTTTTTATATTTACATCTACGGAATGGCGTTTATTTTAATGTTTTGTCCGATTTTTCTTTTATTCGAATTTATTAATTCATTGAATTTTAAATGTGGATTAGATAATTCTGGATTGACTTTTGAAAAATAACATTTTAGCTCATTATGAATTTGGCTTGGATCTAAGAGCAAATTTTTTTATTTGTGTAGTAAGTCAAATTTGAATGTTACTGCTATAGAAATTACATTGCGCAATTGTTTACTCCATGTTCATTTTAAAGCTTAATATACCCAATACCAATCGTCAATCTTGATTGTATCTAACTTCAATTGGATCAACAGCAAATATGTTATCTGATTAGTGAAGGTTCTAATTAGAGTGAATTGTTTGAGATGATCCCAACATTTCATTTTTACCATCGCACTGTCCGCCAACGGAGCAGAGTTCATCAATACTACCTAGAACCTCTTCGCTGATCCACAATGCGTTTCCACAGACCTTTTCTACCACATACCATGCGGCTTTGGATTGAACTTCCCTCCTCGACGATTCCTGAGAGCTATGACTTAATGGTAGGCAGCGGCTTGGCTCTGTCCTTGGCATTCCTGACGTCCATGAGCAACGGTAACCACTCACTATCAGGTGGACAGTATCCTCGTCGCCTATAAAGGCAATAAAAAATGTAGAGAGAGAGAGAGCGAGAGAATAGAGTAGAGACTACCTACTTAGTTTTCCATATTTCACATAGAAAATAATTTCCAATTTAATACCATATGGTCTAACAAACAATAAATTATAGCAGTTAAATTAACAAAAACAACAAAAGATTTTAATAACCGAATTAATTTATTTATTCAAAGTCGCATCAATCACAGACAAAATGACGGAAAATCGCCTTAGATAGTATGGCCATATCATGACGGGATGAAGATCATGTGGTGAAGGTCGCGTTGGGCTTGCCAGAACAAAAGAAAGGTAGAGGCCGCCCGCTATCGACCTGGTGGTCAAACATCGAAAGAGACCTTAAGAAAGCCCAATATCCAAAACCGACAACCCAGGACAGATCAGCCTGGCGCCTTAGAGGGAGGAGACCTGACGCCAGATAACGGAAACAGAGACGGATACAAGCAAACAAGTAACTTTTCATTAATTTTGATATCTTGAAACACGTTCATGTCTTCCTACAAGTCCTCCTACAGTCTAAAAACAATATACATAATTACATTTACACGTGTTGAAAATTTAACTTTCAAAATATTGAGTCTCCTGCTTTGCATTTAAACGAATAAACAAGTCTTGTTTATATTAAAATGAGTTAAGAAGTCTGCGCGAATAAAAACCCTTTTGTGCCGAAAAGGGATTCATTCGCCCATTCAGAACCTCCGAAGTTCTTGTAAGTTGATAAAAGAAAGTGGTATAAGTAAACCTTATTCTCAAAGGGGAAAGTTTTTCGCTTTATGATGAATAGTCAGCTGAGGTTATTAACGCCGCGGCACTGGCACGAAGGCTTTTA